CATTGAACTCTGCTCAGACGTCAAGCACCTTTGCTTATGCGTGCATGCGTTATTTCCTCCCTCGGTGAAATTCTGTATTTGCTGCAATATATTTGGTTGCGTAACAAAATGAGGAGCTTTGTATTTTGGTCTAACTTCGCACTGGATATTAAGCTCACGTAGCAGAAGATGTACAAGCCCTTGCTTGTGTTAGTTGGCACCCCTGCCATGTTCATTATTTACTGTGTTTTCATATTTAAATTCGTGACAAACTGCAATGAGTTGTTGGTGCTTAATTCAAAGCCAAATAATAAATTAGATTGTGTCTGTTTGGTTTGCTCTGACTCCTTCTGTCTCAAAAAATACTAAATATTTTGTAGCTATTTGCTTAAAGTTAAGTTGTTTCTATTTTTCTGCTAATGTCAGATATTTAATGTTAGCAATAATCAGACAAATCTCTCGAAGGATGAGAGGAATGAGGAAAACATCTGCGGATGTTGATTTTGGCCTTATTTTGAGGATAAGGTAAATTAATAACATGCCTTTGGGTGTCAGTAATGCAACGCATGGCCGAGTACATTTAACATTTGTTTAAAAAAAGAAAAGAAATGGTGCTCTTCAGCCACTCGTCACTGTGGCTGCTCTGTTAAGGCTCAGCAAACAGCTGAATCCACGTGTCCAAGAACAACAGAGTTCAGTGAGTTTGCGTGTATTTATTAACTGTTTCTTTCCCGTCGGGTTATGAAGTCGCACAAACGGCAACAGTAATATTCCTCTTTGTAAGCTAAGCTTAACAGTAGAGATCCATGCATTCATATTTATCCATGCTGTTAGGAAAGGCAGGTTTAAATGTAAGTGGACTGATATGTGAAATTTTACTGCGTTTAGTTTAAATACACACACACACGCACACAGTCATGCATGCAAATCCTCACACACTGGGAAAACATAGTTGACCATAACCACAACAAACTACTGGACTTCTTTCACACCTGTGTTTGCTTTTAAAAAAAAACGGTGTAATTTGTTTTTGTAAACGATGTTTGTACTGTGAATGTGATTCATTCTCTGACTGTATAGTTGTGGATAATTTAGATGATTATATTTATGCTGTCGGTCTTTCCATTTGCCTTTTTTTTTTCTTTTTTCTTTTTTTTTAAATCCTGAATTGTGTTGACATTGTAGAATGCATTAGTGTGTGTGTACTTGACTCACAGTCTGAAAACAATGGTGCTAAGTTTGGACTATGCCTGATCTTATTTATTCTGTAATGAAAACATCAAAAACAAGTCGAGTACTTGGTGCTGTACACAGGGACATTTGTAAAGCCGTTTTTTGGCATTTCCTTTCTCATATTTAATATGCTATTGTCTCGTTCTTTCAATGCATCTTGTACAAACTGTAGACGCCACCTTTGGATGAAAGTGCTCTCGTGCAGCCGGCTCGGGGTCCGAGCGACTGCCACGGGGGCCCCTGTTAATGTTTTAAACATACATCGGCCCGCTGTTGGTGAACAAGACACACTGTTTTTGTACATAAGTTTTCTTTAATTGTACATCTCTGTCATAAACAGAAAAGTATATAAAATAAGTAACTATATACAGTCTATATAAATATATATAAGTATATAAATATATACATATATATATGTGAAAGGGGTGATTTGGTGCTGGCATTGTGACCCTTAAATTCACCCTGTAACAGGAGGCTTGAAGCAGAGCAAAGCATTGCCACCAGAGGACCTTAACATGGCTGCACATCAGCACCTGAAAACAAACACACACACACACCCCGCAGCCACAAAGTCAGAGGCTGTGTGTTTATTACACAAAGGTGCGGCGGCTCGAACGCCACCAGATTCCAGTACTAGAACTGTTATCACTTTTTTCAGGTATTTTCACTTCTTTGATTTGTTGTTGTTTTTGTTTTTTGGTTTGTTTTTGGTGTTGAATTTTTTTTTACCAACCCAGATTCTGCAGGAAAAATGGTGCTTCTGTTTCCAAGCGAGGGCAGTTCAGACTTTACAATCGAAATCTTCACTGGTGCATACAGAACTGCGCATCAGCCTCTTTACACACACCGCCTGTAGACGTCTTACTGACGAGGCCGTACCTCGCCGCGTGAGCTGATGTGAAACACTTGTCTTAGTGTGTGTGTGTGTGTGTGTGTGTGTGTGAGTGATATCAGACAGGCTTCCTTTTTTCCTCTGATAGTGGGATTACACTAAAGCTCAGTTTGTACGTGTGTGTTTTTGTGTTTGTTTTTTTAATTTTTCACTTGCCAGCGCATATCTAAGGGAATATTAGTGTAATAATCAAAGCTTTATAGAAAAATAAAACCGTGTCCCGTGCACTTGTGTGCAAGTGAAGAGAAAAAGTCATTTTAGAATTAAGACTAGTCCATTTGTTACCAGCACTGAGAGGTGTTTTGTAATTATTGTTGATGGCGTTTTGATTTTCTTATTCTTGGTGTTTGATACGATTGCAGTCACATGTTATGCTTTTGATTGTGTCTTCAGATTTGTCAGTTTTTAATACTACTAGTCAGACAGCACGGTGCTCTCCTTCACTTAAAACAAGGAAAATCGCAGCTATTGATGAATACTACTCCTCCTGTTGTGCTGCAGGGTTTTATGGTTTAAGAATCTTACACACAAGCTCACCTGGTGGCTTTTCTCACAGCCCAGTCTAACCTTTCAATCTTTAATCTGGAGGGACACTGGCGGGCGGAGGGGGGTGTACGTGCCTGTCAGAGCACTTTGAGGAAGGTGGCAGGGATTCCATTCATTACATACAGATTTTAAGCAGTTTTATAGTTTTTAAATGTATTTCTGGGGTGTGATTTGGCTTTAAAGCTGTGCAGTTCTGCATGATACTGCATCCTGGTACATTATTCGTAGATAATCTTTGAGAGCTTTGCAGTCAAGGCTGTTTACTCGAAATCCTGCCAAAGGTCTTAACTCAGGAACTCCCCACACTGCTTGAAAGAACAAGTTTCGTAATCTGCTGCATCTTATGTTAATTTACCTTCAGGTGGCATGACAAAGTCCCTCTACGACCCAACTCAGGACCAGGGCCACCATTCAGTCAGTGTATTTCAAGGTAAAAATGTATCAGCTGCCCTCATCAGATCTCCTCAGATGCAGTCCTGCTGGCACGTACACCCCAACCCCCGACAATCAGTCCGAGCTTTATGAGCGATCTGATCTCGAGAAGCTGTGAAATGGCTACAACTTTCAGCATCTTCCTCATCTCACAAATGCCTCTGTCTAGATTTGCGTCTCTAAGGAGGAGGTTCGGTGTCTTGTTTGAATCCCTCGTTGAATTGGGGGTAACCTTCAAGGACACGCGTGACCTACAGGATGTGTATAGTGCTCTCTGATTGGTGAAGCCAGGGCAGGTTTGAGGTGCAATAATGGCAAACCTACTTTCCAAAAGGCCCTCGGTTTTTCATGGAAACATTGTTACTGTTTGATGTTGGTGCTTTTATCCTAAGATGTTATGATGAAAAAATGGAATTAATGTTTTTTTTTTCTCCCCTGCAATTTATGATTATTAATAAATTGTTTCTTATAATATTGAGTTTGCGTTTGGAGTGAACTTTGTCCGAGTCCATTTGGTTTGCTGTGACGGAAGAGGGTGTCATGCTGACATCTTCATACCTGAACCATGTTTGAAGCCCCACTACCTAAATCCTAAGTTAGTAGACTTCACATGTAGGCGGCATTTACCTTGTAATGCCGAGTTGGCCTGGCAAAGACTCCAATCTGGCCCGCTCCACGGCAAAATATGAACTTTCACAAGTTTGGTAGTTTTTCCTAATGAAAAGACAAAGTAACCAACAAATATATAAACCCTTAAAGAAAATTCTGTTTTCTTTTTTCTATCTACTATTGCAGTTTCCTTTTTTTACAGCTGGTCCACAGTATCTGTTGTCCTGACAGATTTCTTCAGTTCATTACAGCAGCATTTCTTTATCGTGTAGAAAAACAGATGTGGTTAAAACTGCACTTCCTGTTTCCACATGTCTCTGAGATCAAATTTGTAGATAAATCTCTTCACAGAGACGGATAGAGAAGCTGCACTGGTCCGGTTCACGTAATTTCAAAGTGGCCTGCAAGTGGCCTGCGATGTAAAATAAGTTGATAAAAAATGTGTCTCTGTATAAGATACTGAAGTTTTTGAGAAGTCAGCATCATTAGGTGTGTGTGTGTGTGTGTGTCAGTCCTGAGAAAGACTAACAGCCTGTTCACTGTGGTCCTGCCCTCCTGCAAGCCTGAGTCTGAGAGATGGATATGAAAGTGATGGGTGATTAAAAACTACAATTAACGACATTGTTTTTAAAAATATGTCAGCTTTCAAAAGAAATGGAGAACGTTATAAAACATATAAATGAAGAAAAACGTAGTCCTGCATAAGAGAGCCGCTTCAGTTACTAACTTGGTCACTTGAGGATTAATGGTCCGGTGAGGTCTGTAAAAACAAACAGCTTCTGCTGCTTCAGTTCACAGACATGTTACCTTATTCTGTGTCGAATGCCTGTGATGCCTCAGAGAAAGCCTCCCAAAAGGCCCGTGCACTGAAGCTTTCCACCTGAAGCCAGGCCTGTGGCGTTCCCCGGTTACCACCTGTGGCTCACCACTGTAGAGAGGTGAATATACGATGGGGAGAAACAGGAGTGTAGATGTTGATTACTTTTTCATCAAAGTGCAATTCTTGTTTCCCACAAGTGTGACTGAAAACATTCAAGCTGGTGTGCTTCAAACACCGCCTTGATACAATGAACATTTCCTGCCATTCCTCACTGATGATTTATAAGGTATGGTGAACCTTGGCTTTATCACCGGGGGAAAACGTCCACAAATGGCTCTGAGACCTTGACTGTCTGCACAACAAGCCTGCAGCTGTGAAAATGCTGAGGGGAGTAGCAGCTCCTCGAAGCCGCTCAGGTCTCCCTCTGACAACATGTTTCCTGCTCGTCTTCCAGCGCGAATGCTTCCAGATCTCCGGTGTGGGTTCATTAAGATAACCCATTCTCTTCCCATGACCTTTAATGGTAAGTTCACCCAAAATGCAGGCAGACCACACAGTTGATGAACAATCTGATTTGTTTCTCATCTGACATAGATGAAAATAAATGAATGACATTTCAGTTATGCAACAAACTAAAACAGATTGGAACAAATATTTTGCTCCCGAACGGTTTCTCTTCCACAAAGCTTCTCTAAAAATTAGAAAAAGATATTAACTGAATGAAAATTAAGCAAAATAAAACAAATGACATTATATTTTGTACTTAGAAAACATTAATATAAAAAGTGTTAAAAGACTGCAGTCCTTATAAACCAGATTATTTCCCGGATTGCAATAGTTATTTTTGTTGTAATTTTAGAAATGTTGAAATGACTCTGGGTGCTGCTGTAATGTTTTTATGAAGAAAAAAAAATGGAAATAAGGTGAAGTACTGAAGGTTTCATGTTTTAGTTGATCAAATCAAAATTCAGTCGGAGTTCCTCAGGGATCTGTCCTTGGTCCACTACTCTTTATTATGCTCATAATATGTCTTATAGAAACAGATCAGATTTTCGTTTAGAGTAGAATAAAAACCTTTTAACGGTGTTTAGTAGTGTCACTAGTGATCATACATTTATACACGGAGCCGGGGGCAGGAGATGGTTAGCCTGAAGCAGGGATGTCCAACTGATTGTGGATTGTGGGCCACATTCAGCCCGCTTTGGTCTTAAGTGTACCTGACCAGTGAAACGCCCCGCTCTGTCAGAGTAAAGAAGCTTAACTACATGTGAATCTCAATATAAGAAAGTGCAACTTCAACTCTGCGTCTCAGTTTTTCCATATATAATGTCAAATGTCCTCAGTCCCATCCTCTATACCCTGTACGCCCACGACTGTGTCACCTCCAACAAAGATAACATCATTTTGAAATTCGTGGACGACACTGCAGTGATCAGTCGCATCACTGGAGGGGACGAAGTGGCTTACAAGAGAGGTGGCCAGTCTGGTGTCATAGTGTGAGGACAACAACCTCACCCTCAACACTGAAAAGACAAAGGAGATGATAGTGGACACGAGGAAGAAGAGGAGGCCTCACCAGCCGCTGTTTATCCGGGGCCTTGAAGTGGAGAGGGTGAGCAGTTTTAGATACCTGGGCGTCTACATCTCTGAGGACCTCACCTGGACACTGAACACCACACAGCTGGTCAAGAAGGCTCAGCAGCGGCTGTATTTCCTGAGGAGGCTGAGGAAATTTGGTATATCGGCCAAGATCCTCAGCAGGTTCTACAGCTGCATTGTGGAGAGCACACTGACCAGCTGCATCACTGCATGGTACGGCAGCACTACTGCCATGGACCGCAAACACCTGCAGAGAGTGATAACAACTGCAGGGAAGATAGTCAGGACTCCGCTGCCCTCTCTGCAGAGCATCTACCATCGCAGAGTCCAAAGGAGAGCTGCCTCCATCCTCAAAGACCCCCCACATCCCCAACACGGACTGTTCACGCTTCTGCCCTCAGGACAGAGGTTTAGAAGTGTGAAATCCTTCAACTCCTTCTTCCCCACTGCGATCAGACTCTTGAACAAGCTGACCTATTTCACACTTCACTATATTGTCTCCTTTTCTGTCTTTATTTATTTATTTGTACTATTTGTATTTATCTGTTCTATTTCTATTGTATATATTAATCGGTATCTGTGGGTGGACAGCAAAGATGAAGACAAATACCTTTTGTCTTTGGACACATAGCAATAAACACGTAAACAAGTAAGCAGATATACCAAAACTGCAAAGTGTTTCTTTAAAGTCGTTTTGAGCTTTGTTGTCGACGTGATGGAAGCAAACCTCCAGTTCTACTGTCCTCTTTGTTTAAGTTAAACAGCGTGCATATTAGCTCTGCAGCCACGAAACATTAAACAACACTCTTCATCTTTCAGCCTGGCGTGTTCTGTGAAAGGTTTGTGAGAAACTTTCTTTCTCAAACCTGTTTGTGTCTGCTAGATAAGGATGTTCAGTGTGTCCAAAGTCATCTTCTGTTTACATCTATGTCCCGTTTGCTGTCTGATTTTAGAATGTTCTCTACAGTCAGGTTAAAATATCTCAAATACTGATAATCTCAGTCATCAAGGACACACAGTGCTGCTATTTTGGCAGAAAGGGGACCCCAGGTGGTGAGAATGGGAGGTCCGAGGATGTAACTCCCATCCTGTGAGAGATCTGACCACACAGACGCACGCGCAGACACTGCAAACATGTTGAGTCTGCTCGTTCTTTACAGCGAGGCGCTGACGCTCTGCTGGACCCTGCAACCGGCCCAGGACCCCACAGTAACCGGTCAGACGCCGCTCGGCTGATTAATTAATTAATAACTCGTTAACTTTGAATGGAAAAATGTGTGCATGTGGTTATTGCTTCAGAATGGTTCTTTAGTGCGTGAACTAATTTGTCCGTTTCAGAGTACTCACTCCCATCAGCGAAGACCCCATCATCACCATCATCAGCAGCAGCAGCAGCGCCTCATGCTGCACCATGCTTCGTGGAGGACATCTTTGCAGCGTTGCGTGAGGGTGTGGGGGACAGCGGCGAACTGACAAACAGCAGTTTGGTTCTGTTTGGATTCTGCTCACAGTCTGCCCACTCATCAGCCTCGGTCTCGTTAGACCTCGCTAACAAGAAGAGCAGCTTGGAGGTTCTGCACCCAGCTGCAGGTAAAAGCCGAAACCGCATTCTTGCTATTTTTCTTTCTTCACTTTGTAAATTGTTTGGTTTTGTTCTTTTAGTACATGTATCAGACGAAGAGGAGCAAGGAACAATCACGCTGACCTTTGACCTCCCACGGTCTCCTTCGCTCATGACGAACCCCGTGCTGCTCTTGGCCTTTGAAAGTCCACTGGCACGAGGAGACCTGGAAGTTGCTTTCACTAGTCGGTCTCTGCAGCCAAACACGCAGGTAAAGAGAGCTCAGGTGCAAACGCTGCTTCAAGGATGCTGTCAAACATAAGGCACGGGAGCCAGATTGGGCCCAGCAAAGACTTCACACTAGACGGCTTTGAGCTACTGGACGTTTTTCTGTAATTTTGCACATTTATTTCCTTCATTTACTAAAGAAACTTTTCTCTGTCATGCACAAAAACTGAGGCTTGGTGTACAAATTGCACTTGTTTTTTTTCATATTAAGATGTCTCAGTAATGAAATGTGCAGTTAAACTTCTCACACTCACTGAAAGAGGAGTTTCACATCGAGCTGCATCAAGTGGCCCTCAATGTAAAACGAGTTTGCCATCCCTGCCTTGGGTGATAAAATGTAATGAAAGGTTTGCAGATCTCTAACTCTGGGTTTTTGTGTTGCTTTGTTTTCCAGGCTGTGTGCATTTCAGGAGACACGCAGTATGTACTGCTGACAGGAAAATCATCAGAGGGGAGCGTTAATGACAGGTGGCAGATTACTGCTGAGACAAAACCCCCTCATATGAGTGAGATATCATCTTCTTCATTTTATTTCCCCATCTGTGGTTCATTGTGTACCCTCCTTACATTTCCTCTCATTGTAGAACAAAACCTAAAAAGCATCTTGATTGGTGAAAAATCAGGAAGTAACATCAGCATGAGTCCACTTCTGTTTTTCTCCGGGGGAACGGGAACTGATACGAGGTCGGCCCGGCTTTCTTTCTGCTGACATTCACTGTCGTCAGAGACGCGCTCAGCTTTGTTTTTTTGTTTGCTTTCCCAGATGTGCTTCGGGCTCGCCCCCGGCATCTCTGCAAACCTCCTTCCTTTGTGAGATGAAACGCTTCCTGGGTGGTGTTCTGCCTCAGGAACACTTCGCATCCCCTCCACTTCCTCTGGACTCCTTACAGTCTCTGCCTCCCCTCTCGCTTGGCTTATCCTCCAGCGAGACCCTGCTGGCAGTAATGATCAACTCCACAGCTCCCACAGTCTTTGGCTTCACGAGCTGGAGCTCTGTGTTGCCGGTGTGCCACGGAGAGCTGGCCCTGTCTGCTGCACTGTTAGAGGAGCTCAGACAGAAACTGGACCAGACTTTGGTGCAAATGACAGATATAATCAGAGAGGAAGAGGTTTCACCGGGAGCCAAGGAGAGCCTGGGGAGGCTCAAAGAACTGAGTGCGTTACAGAAGAAAGAACATGCCACAGGTGACATGTGCAAGAACAGTTATAGTTACATAGGAAGCATCTTTTTTTTTAATGAAACAACACCCTGCTGCACAGTCGGGTGCATTTAAGTATCCCTCTGCAGCTTTCAGCTTCCAGCTTTAGGAGATGTTGGGTGGAGGGAGTGGCCACGGATTCTCTAAACCCCATTTATAACAGGCCTTGCAGTCAAAGGTTTATGGGCCAAAAACAGTAATCATGCTGCAGACTGTCTGTTCAGTTCTACAGCGGCCCCAGTGACCTATGAGTTCAGATTATTTTAAGTCTTGTGCACAAACAGATTCCTATTATTCAAATTTTAAAAGTTCTGAAGACGGCAGATTAAAAAATAAATAAATTAGATCTCATTCATCAAGAGAACAAAAACCTGGACATGAAATATTTAGATATCAGCAGATGTCTTTAAGAAAACTAATCATGTGAGTGTGTGTGAGCTTGGCTGACGTTCGTTTCTATTATTATATCATTTGCTGTTTTGTCAGTGGTAAAATTTGGATCTATATTAACCAGTGACCTTTGACATATATAGATGAGCAACTATATTAAATTTAATTTGATTAGATTTTGTTATTTTGTCATTTTGCTCTGCTGTGTTCATCAGTTTATCAGCTCCACAGACTCTACCAACTGGAACTCGTTTCCACTTTTGCTTTTTGCTTAGCGTGAATTTTGTCGTCACCGCTGTAAAGGTCACGTATATCCCCTTTTTAAGTGCTGCATGTGTTTTCTTTCTGCGTCCGCCAGGAGGGAGTCAGTTCCGTGCGTTTCTTCTGCTGAAGGGTCTGCAGACGGTGGCCCAAACGTACGACGCGCAAAGAAAACTGCGGGCCACCAGAGCAGACCCCAGTTCGTCAGTGAGGGGCAGCGTCTGTGGGCTGAGGGCTCTCACCGTGTCCCTGACGAAGCTTCTTGTCGGCCCAAGCAGCGCAAACATTAACAATTGCCACGGCTCCTGCGCGTTCCCTCTGACCAACGGCAACAACCACGCCATCCTGCTCAACTCCCACATCGAGAGCGGCAACGCGGATGAGCGTTCGCCCTGCTGCGTGCCCGTGGCCTACGAAGCTCTGGAGGTGGTGGACTGGAACGCAGATGGGACCTTCATCTCAATCAAGCCAGATGCGGTTGCGAGAGAGTGTGGATGCCGCTAGAGCTGTTCTCTACAGCTACTTTACCCCAGCATTTATAACTTTCACACACCTGATAGTTATGTGCATGTTTCAGTTATGAAATATCAATTACAATACACCACATGTACTTTTAATTAAATATAACTACTTTTATGCTTTATTAAAGATCACAAGTCTTAAGATCACAAAGTTGATGTGAATGCTATTCATGTTAAGATATTTGATAATTAGTGATGCTAAAATGAATCAGATCTTGTCATTTTGAAAATATTTTAATTGGAATAATGTTTCTGAGTGTTAAACTGTTAAAAGGATGAAATATAGCCTTCTTAAACTTGTGATAATTAAATGCAAAGTGTATTTAAAGTTCTGTATTCGTAGCCATACAGCTACATAAGCTACAGTATATGTTTTATGCTTTGATTTTGGGTTTCAGGATTGCTTTATTAGCAACTGGCTTCTTCCTTCTTCTAATCGCTCCGACTTCTTCAGATCCCCACCACCGGGTGAAGCTGTCCCATATGGAGATCTGGAGGCAGACAATGGGAGACAAGACACGTGTGATTCCATATCAACCAGCCCTAAATACTGTGGAAATCCTATACTGTTGCATAATAAAAATTCTCATTTATAATAATATTTGAGCACGTGATATTTAAAGAGATGATCCAAAGTCCAGTTTATTTTCGGTCCTCTGAGCTGTAGAGCTGTTTGTCCAGCTTGAGCAGTTTATTGTGCATTTCCTAGATTTGGAGAAACCGGCTGTAGACGTTTCTGCTGTCTTTGGAACATTTATGAAAATCATTAAGCACACATCTTGCAGTACCAAAAATACAATAATGACTCTGTTACTCTCAAAAATAGCTGCGAAAGGTTCGGCATCCATCACCCAAAGAAGTATACACTAACCTGTGATAGGCAAGGTTATTACTGTTAACTAAAACTAACTTGTTACGCCCCTCTGTAGCCCCTAATCTCTTTGCAGTGGCAGTGCAAGAGTGTTCAGCTGTTGCTAATTGACCACACCTTATACATACTTGAGGCAAGTTTTCATGGAGGTGCACTAGTCTTTGTCTTAGTGGTACCAGCTATTTTAGCTAACTTATCATATAATTTAAAATAAAAAATAAAATCTTCTCTGTGAAATTCTGGTGTTGGTCTCCATATTTATGTTGCAGCTTTTGAGCTGGCTCGTAACATAACTAAAATTTAAATATAGAGGAAATATTGTGGAGTTTTAGCATCTGTTAATCTTGTTTAACCTGTAAGTTGATGAGGTTTTGATAAACGTGTTTGAGGCTTTGGATCTTTACCAGACAAAAACTTATAGTTTGATTGAAATAGATGTTCTGCTTTTTCTAAATCTTACCTCTGACATACAATAAAAGATAAAAACTAACACTGCACCGAATAAAAACGAAAGATTTTCGAACAGTAAAAACAAAAAGTCAAAATACAATAAAAACTTATTAGAGAATACAAAAAACTATAATAACTCTGGTGACAGGATGTAATCGTGGCGCCCCCCCCCCCTTCAGCGGAACTGCAGCTAGCTGCAAACCTCTTTTGGTTGGTATTTGTAATTCTCTCAAAGGAAAATACTTTCAGCATGAAACTGCTCACAACAGTCTCATTAAGGCATACATCTCCAAAAATGGGAAAATCACACCGAAATAGTCCAGATGGGTGCACAGATGATGTCATCTAGACACGGGACGCACTCTGATGTCTTTAACGCTTAAAAACGTGTGGAAGAATCAGAAACATGTGACCTTGATTGTAGAACATAGCAATCTCGATGTATGTAAAATAAGATACACTTCTAATGTTGTTCTTTTAACACACAGAAGCTCCAAATGCTGTTCACTGCTCTAGTCTACAGGATCACCAGTCAGCTCTGCTCAGTACACCAACACGTGCACTTTACACAGTGTTTCATGCTTTATGCTTTGGGTTGAACAGATACTGCTACTGTCAGTCTTGCAAAACTTTCTTTTTTCAGCTATGAGAGGGTAGGTTTGCTCATTCAGTCTTTAAAAAAGAGGAATAAAATTGTTTAAACCGGTAAGATTACATGTAAGGGGAGTATGGAGCCATCCAGTGGTTCATCAGCTGTGTGTTGACCGGGTATTTGTTAATTCTCAGCCATACAAACGGACACTTTACGGTTCCCTTATTTCCAAATCTGACAAAGACTTTCTCAAAACCTCTGTGAATTTACAGCAGGCCCATTATTCTCCATTTTGCCCTGTTTATCCTACTGTTGTTGCTTTATGATGCCAGGAGAAGCAGATATCACTAATATGGCCCTCTCAGACTGATAGCTTGTCACTGAGATGCTTGAACACCAAGAGAAGAAGATGGATTACGGCTTTAAAGGCAGAAAAGCTAAAATGGCTCATTTCACACAGCGGATGAACTGAAGGGTTGCCCCATTAAAGGATAATGTTTAAGATATATGATTAAAAGTCCAAGTACTAAAATACCGAGCTGGAAATGAGCACGACTCTGTATTCAGCTGTGGCTGATCCAGAAAACCGAGTAAAAACTTTACTGTCGATCCATCCATCTACTTTCCTCTGCTTAACTGGGGCAGCAGCCCAAGCAGAGAATCCCAGAACTCCCTCTCCCCAGCCACCTCCTCCAGCTTATCCAGGGGAACACCAAGGCGTTCCCAGGCCAGGCGAGAGATATAATCTCTCCAGCGTGTCCTGGGTCTGCCCCGGGGCCTCCTTCCTGTGGGACCTGCCCGGAAATCTCACCCAGGAGGCGCCCAGGGGGCATCCTTGTCAGATGCCCGAACTACCTCAACTGGCTCCTTTTGATGTGGAGGAGCAGCTGCTCCTCCACATCGAAAGGAGGAAAACTTTACTGTATCTGTACATTACACATAAAATCACCCTCAGTCTTTAAACAAGAACAGTTGCAGTCTAACTGACAGAATCACGAGAAACCATACCTGTGTTATTGAAGCACTCTGCAGACTTCCAAAGAAAGACCACACACCTGTCTCTTCAACAAAATAGTCCAGAGCATCTAGAAAACACAATCGCACGAAAGACTGAGAGCGTGTTACACAGAAGCTGTCGGCTGTTACAAATCACAGCAATCTGTCAGAAACAAGCTCAAAACATGTCTGATGTGGGTAAAGAGACAGTGCACTGGCACTCACCATGCACTTCGTTAACTCCTGAGCTCACCAGTAGCACAACCAGCGCCGCCACTAAACAGCGGTTCACAGTGAATCCTTTCCACGGATTTGGAACATCGCTCAGATTTTCAATGCACAGAATCCGCTCATAAGACACTGCAGACAGACACGAGTCAGACGCATTTAGTCCATGCTCAGTTTCATCAGTCTGGTGGCTGTTTAGTGAAACATGTGTCTTACTCGTGAAGCCTTCAGACAGGCCTGCTCCAGCTTCTTAAGGCTGAAAAATAACACTGCAAGATGAGGAAAGATTCAGTAGGACTGTGTGGTTGAGATTTAGTAAAATAGCAGTACACAGAATACACAGAATGATCACACGTGGGGTTTGTATAATCCTCGATATCTTATATCTGTGATCATATTCCACTTTCCCCTGTACTGCCTTTTGCACCCTCTTCCAAGCCACACACTAACATGTGACACTAACACAGCTTAAAATAGGCACACGTAGCTCTTTAGAAAGACAAATATGGAGCTCAGGGTTTAGTTTGATATGAACCTCTGGACAGAAAAATATGCTTACCTGATTTTCAGTTGTGCTTAACCACAGAGGTGAGGGATAGTAGAGCTGTGCTGCTGCGGTTGTGTACAGGCTCGGCACCTGCTTCTTTGCTTGATTGACAGGCACGGGTGTGAAAACAGGGAAAGGGACACTCAAACTTAATAGCAGTAAGCCAGTAGGTGAACGAGGATTAGCAACACCCGCCTTCCAGTGCCATGAACACTCCTACTCCTCCACAGCTCAGAGGCAGATAAGCCAGAGTTACCAGGGTGGTTTAAAAGTTTACTTAATTATGAGGAGGTCCTAAAACACAACACATTGTTAAAAGTTCATCACATAATAAATTAGTCCCAATTCATTGATTCTGTATGTTACTAAATTCACATGACGCTGATGTGTATGATTGGGAACCTGCAGTCTCAGTGTATCGCTGTATATAGTGTCAATAAAGGCATCAGCAGCAGTAATAACTTCTCCTTCTTCTTTCAATTCTTCTTTTGGCTGCTCCCTTCAGGGGTCACCACAGCACATCATCTGCATCCATGTCATCCTTTACCTACCATCGTCCTGTCACATCAACTCTCTGCAGGCCTTCCTCCGGCCTGGCAGCTCCATTTTTAACAGCATTTGTCCAGTATATCCATATCCCTGCTCTGCACATGTCCAAACTTTGTCTGAAAAAATTACTCAACCGGAGCAGTCCAGTCTTTTTGATCAGCAATAATAAGCTATTACTCAAATATGTACTCGGCTAAACCATGGTCTACTGTACCACTGCACATGGTTGAAATGACATTAAAGCCACTTGACTTGGCAAAAATGATACAACTCAATTTTATTTTTTGGGATAAATTATATATATAAAACAAAAGACAAATACAGTGGGGCAAAAAAGTATTTAGTCAGCCACCGATTGTGCAAGTTCCCCCACCTAAAATGATGACAGAGGTCAGTAATTTGCACCAGAGGTACACTTCAACTGTGAGAGACAGAATGTGAAAAAAAAAATCCATGAATCCACATGGTAGGATTTGTAAAGAATTTATTCGTAAATCAGGGTGGAAAATAAGTATTTGGTCAATAACAAAAATACAACTCAATACTTTGTAACATAACCTTTGTTGGCAATAACAGAGGTCAAACGTTTACTATAGGTCTTTACCAGGTTTGCACACACAGTAGCTGGTATTTTGGCCCATTCCTCCATGCAGATCTTCTCGAGAGCAGTGATGTTTTGGGGCTGTCGCCGAGCAACACGGACTTTCAACTCCCGCCACAGATTTTCTATGGGGTTGAGGTCTGGAGACTGGCTA